GCACGGCCACGGTACGTCCCGCGCGCGTGTGTGTCTGTCTGTCTGCGCGGCTGTCTCGGACACCAGGTTTGTCAGCCGGCGCTGAGCCGTTATTCCCTGTCCTCGGAGCGATTTCTCCAGCCCAGACAGACGGCTTGCGCTTCTCTTTACAGGTGGCTCCAAGGCTGCATCATTGCACTGGACAAGTGAGCGAGCTGTCAGTGTCCTCTTGCTGGGTCTCCTTCCTGCAGCCTACCTGTATCCTGGACCAGCCATGGACTACTCACTGGCTGTGGCCCTCACTCTCCATGGCCACTGGTAAGCACAATAGATCCTTCAGGATTAAAAGTAAAGTCTGATACTCAGGATGACTTCAAGCCTTAGCTCATAAATCTGTATATGGCAGGAAACCTACTGACTGATTTCCTGATCTAGTATAAAACACCTGGAAAGAGATGCAAACAAAGTCCTTACTTTCCAAGCTCTGTGACAGTTGTGATCTTTGACAACACTAGTTGTACCTTGGTTCTTCCTTTGTCACGCTGTTCTCTCAGTCAGAAGGCAAGATACATAGTACTATTAAGGCATCCGTAAGCATTCTCTAGTGTTCTTCTACACAGTATCTTACCTTAGGAGGACTTCCTTGCTACTGGCTTTGTAGAATCTTGGACGTTTTTATCTTGTAGAGGAATCAATGTTGTATGAACAGAGGGAACAGAAACAGGACAGATCTATATAAAACAAGTTGTTGTTCTTAGGTTCTGTGCTGTGGGCTGGGTTTGTATATCTCAATGGTGATGAGACTCTGCATAATAAAGAGTTCATAGCAAATATTCCAGTAAAGAAGCCAAGACCTTGATCATTATTTTATTGATTCCTGGGAAATGAATTCTTGCTCATGTTCTTCTTCTTAACTGTAGTTCTGCTGTGATCTTTAATGTGAGTAGGCTAAACAAGTCTAGTTAGGAGTGAATCCAGCTGCATGGTTGGCCCAACTGGCAGAGTTTACATTCTTGAGGTGATACTGGTCCGTAGTTCCTTGTCATAGAGATAAAGCAGATAAGCAACTTCGTGGTACTTTGGGATGCTAGGTTTTCTTGAACCTCAGTTTTGCCCTTAACGAAGTTGTCAGAACTTCTGACTCTTCTGACAAGAGTTCACTTCCAGTCTGACACATGTAGAAAAAAAACCCAGAGTATGCTAATTTTTTGATTGCCGTGATTTTCTAATCTACTACACATCCTGGAGTCTTCTGAGCATTTGTGACAATGGGTGGTCCCAGAGCCACACCTTGCTGTTCAAGCAAGAAGGATATTTCCTTTGGTTTCTTTTCTTCAGTCCTTGGAAGTCAGATAAGCTGCCCACTGCTTCTTGGAGGCATATCCTACAGATTCTGTTGTTTGCAAGAGCTGTGCTCAGCGCCTTGTTTCTGCAGTACTGTTAAGAAAACTGAGCCAATATTTATATTTTTTTAATAGACTATGTGGAGTGTTGTGTTGTTTTGTTTTGTTTTGTTTTTAAATAGATGCATTGTCTTTTTGAGTGGGAACTGGGCATTCTTTGGAAAGGTTGATGATAATGGCTGAAAAATATGATGTGTTTGAGCCATCTTAGTAGAATGCTCACATAAACTGTGTGGACTTCAGTGAGGAATGCCTTTCCTGATTTCATCTTTTTTCTCCCTCTATTTCTGTAGGGGTCTTGGACAGGTTATAACTGACTACGTCCATGGAGATGTACCCATTAAACTGGCCAATACAGGTCTGTATGTACTGTCAGCCGTTACCTTCGCTGGCCTCTGCTACTTTAACTATTACGATGTTGGTATCTGCAAGGCTGTTGCCATGCTGTGGAGCCTCTAAGATGCGACAGAGTTCCTGACAAACATGATTGTTCACTGCTGCCTCTGCTTCATCATATTTTTACCATGTTTAATGCGAAACAAATTAATAACCAAGGGCCCATAGTGTGTACATACTGCAGCAAGTTGAGAGCTTGTCTTTTAGAAATAAGTACCCAACAGCAGTAAAAATGTTAGAAAAGAAAAAGTAGATTTAAAGTGGATAATGTCCAGATGAGAATGAGTTGATTTAAGCTGCACTGTAAATTGAGCGGGATTAATTACATCGATGACAGACTTGCATAGCTGAAGGTAACTTTCCTTGTAATGGCAGCTTTAATGAGTGTTTTTTCTAAAATAACTGTTGTTTGGTTTCCTGTTTTGTAAACCAAACTTGACTTGTGGAAAATTGAACTGTTGTTTCAGACATCACAAGAACTGAACTGTATGTAAAGCACATCCTGTAACTCTTTGGACCCTGACAGTTGATGTAGAAAAGGGAATAATTTTTTCTTAATCCATACAATAAAGAATTTACAGAAATCGTGTGTGTGTACTTCTGAATGATTTTTACTATTTTGGAGTTACTTAAAATGTTTTCTCTGCAGATAGGTTTTTTTTTTCCTAAAATCCAGTTCACATACTATTTCATACTGTATGTAACTGTTCATTCTGCTACTCTGCATTACTTCATTTATAAGTTATAAAACAAAAAATGGTTTTATAAATGTATTGTCCTTAATAAAGAGGTGACTTAGACTTCACTTAACAGAAAAGTAATGTCTATTAGAAAATACAGCAATAATTGACTTTTGCAGATTAATTTTAGGAGCCATAAATAGAATACGGCTTTCATAGTTTCCCTGGAACCTGTATGTTCATCTGCCACATTTTTGGGGGAGGTTCTTTCTAAATAAAACACACTACACCTTTTCGTGTGTGACTGAAAAGACAACAAACGTACCCTTTATGTCATAGCTTTACATGAGACTGAGGCAGCGTTTTTGTTTTGTCTTTAGGTTTTAAAGCATTTTGGGGGGGGGGGGATGAGATTGTAGTTTTTAAGTTTCTCTGCTTTATCTTTTCTGACTTCCGTAGTAGTAAGGAGTGGTTAACTGTTTCCACATTCTAGTGTGGTATTATTAACAGTAAGAGGAAGATAATTATGTGTTATCATCAGTCTGTCTGAATTCTACAAGACTTTCTGATTTTTTTTTTTTTTTAATCAAGATTGGAATTTTTATTTATTTACTTATTCATGTAATCGTGGGAAATATGTAGCTGGCCACTTTTGTTTTGCAAATCTTGTGGTCAGAATTGAGATGGTCGCTTCTGTCTGATGTGGTCTGATTTCGGTATCAATGTGGTGTTATTTTGTCACAGTGAGGAAAATGCGTATGTATGAGCCATTGGTGAGTACCTCTGTACAGTCTGAGCATGTATCATAGAAGGTGTCTGACATTTCCTTTGAGACCAAATACAAGATGCATCTGTATGTGGTATGTGTTTAAGATATCTTGTGTGAGAAATGAGTTATACAAGAGCTCTAGGAATGTACTAGTCCAGACCTACAATGTTAGGGGCTAGCAACTCTTGAGATTAGTTCATTGCGTTTTTGAGGCAAGATTTAAAAGGTAACAACCATAGCTTTCTCTATGAATCACATGTTCTTCCTCACTCCTGTTGAAATTGAATCAGTTCCATGGAGTTACCATTAACTTTTATTCTTAATTATTGTGATGGCTGTAACCATTTGGTCTAATCCCATTTTTGAACATTCATCAGGCATATAAAACTGGGACTCAGTCCTACTGGGCAACTGGATGTGTTAAACACATTTTTGAATTTAAGCCCCTCCAGTGAATTATTCTAAGCGATAGTGCACTCGGTGGCTGTACCTGATTGTAAATAATTGGTTTCTTACTGCCTTTAGGTGCTCCTGTAGCAGCTAGTAGATAGGTGAAATGGCAGGGAAAGCATAACATGAAAAGCTGAGACAGACAGGGTTATCGCAGCAGTTTATGTCTCTCCTTATGGGAGCCAGTCATATTTACATATGTTCCAAACTGTTAGAAGGACAAACGTCTGTTTCGTTTCATCACTACCTTAAAATTTACTGTTAACTTTTAAAAACCTTTACATAAAAGCATAATACTTTTTTTTGGGGGGGAGGTGGTGTGATGCTGAAGACAAACAGCTTTATTAGAACTTTAATTGTTCAGGTAAGTTAGCAGTTTTCTAAGCAAAGATTTTCAGTAAGTTAAAAATTGTCTGTTGTTTCTACTTCAGTTGAAGGTGAGAATGTCACTGTGTAATTGAGATTGATAAAGACACTCAGAAAATACTCTTGCTGCAAAAAAGTAATCTCAAGTGTTTATTGGCCAGGTGCATGGTCTGCTTATGACATCCGTTATTTTAAGTGGTATCTTAAGTGGTTTTCTCTCCCTCCCCAAAATAGGTCTACTTTGTCTATCAGACAACTAATTCAAAAGCTGTTTTATAACAGGCAGTAAAGATTTTAGGGATCAAGCTATATAGCACTACATAGACACGC